ACTCATCATGGAAAAACGCAATTATCATGAAGTGACTTATGATTTTAATTACGAGACATGAATGTCACATTCTACTTATTTTTTTATTAACTAATCATCATGGACATTGGTTACAACTAGTGATGACAATGGGTCGAGCCAAGAGCTAGTGGCTCGGGGGCGAGCTCGGCTCGGCCCACGAGCTCGTGAGTTCACAAGCCACGAGAGGGTCGAGCTGAGCCGAGCCCACGAGCCACTCGTGAGCTCTTGATTTTTTTAATTTATTTTTTTGGGGTAAATTTGCACATTTTAAACATTTTTTTTTTAAAAAAAAATTCATATTTTTTGACGAGCCCACGAGCCGCTTGTGGGCTTGACGAGCCGAGCAGGCTTGGCTCATGAGATTGAGCCCCTGCTCGACTCGGGCTTGTCATTTGATGAGCCGGAGCCGCCCACGAGCCGGGTTTTGACGAGCCGCTCGGCCCGTTTGACATCCCTAATTATAACATTTGTTCAGTGGATTATTTTAGAACAAGGGGAGTTCAAAGTATCATATACGTCTATCTCTTCCATTCAAATTCACTTTTATTCAACTTTTTGAAAATATTTTATAGAAAATTTCCTCTTTAGTTAGATATTAGCCTTCTAATTACTCGAGGACAATGGGATTCCACCTCAATACGTGTAGTACATACAGTATTTGATATGATTAAAGTAATAAAATTTAATTTTATCTTTCTTCCTTATTTTCATCGTACCAAACAAGATTTGATACATCAAGAAAGAAATGTGGTTAATTGAAAATTGACATACTTGTGCTACATAGAATTGTTCTTTATTTAAAATCCATCTAGATTTTAAGCTTAGGTTTAAGGGAAAATTAGAGTTGGTTTTTGATAAGAATAATAAAGATTTTATTGATAATGTTCTTGTGAATATTACAATGTAGAGAGAGCCGTATTTATAGGGTTACAAATAATTGGAAAATGAAATAGCGTAAAAGGAAAAATTACACAAACAATAACTAAGGTAAATAATCATACACTAAAAGAAAATATAATTCTAAATAGTCTTTCTATCTTTAACACCCTCCCCTCAAACTCAATATGGTGTAAAATATTGAGTTTGACCAATCAAATCTTAATATTGAGTGTGACCAATCAAATCTTCATTTTTTTAAAACAGAATAAAAAACCTCTAGGTTGTTTAAGAGGCAGGGGGAGTGCAGGTAAAATTCAAGGTACCAACCCTTCAAAATTTTGTTTTTAAAGACCTCTAGTTTGTTTAAGAGACAGAAAACCCTAGTTTGTTTAAGGGCACGGGAGGAGCTGGTAAAATTCAAGGTATCAACCCTCCAAATTTTTGTTTTAAAAACCTCTAGTTTATTTAAGATGCAAGGGGAGAGACGGTAAAATTTAAGGTACCGACCCTCTAATTTTTGTTTTCGCAAGAAAAAGTAAAAAAAAACATTTTTCTTTTGTTTTAAACTCTAAAAATTAAAATATTAAAAGAGAAGAATTAGGGAAATAATAACCAAACAATTCCCAAAATAGTTAGCAGGCAATGGCAGATTCAGGCGCGCTCGGCAATATGCAGCTTCTAGGAGAATATAGTTGGCTGCCACTAGGGATGGTGGACTAGTGTTTGGTGTGGCCCACATCTTTGCTTCATTCAATGGCACCTTCATTCATGTGGCAGAAGCGGAAGGAGGAATTGGCTACAATTATTTGTCAAATTTTTCAGTGAGAGCTCTTAACACCCACTTTGCATGGGATTCGAAGGCACTAAAAGCCACGAGAACTGGAGGATGAAAAATCTTGCAGCCTAATCCATGGGCTGTTCAAACGGTTGACTGGCATCATGATTTTCTCATGACAAGAACCAAAAAAATTGTAACAAAATAAAAACAAAAATTTGGTCAGGGCGAGCAGAGAACGAAAATTTGCAAGTTTAATCCAAGATCAAGTTAAACCCACTCTGATATCATGATAAGAATAATAAAGATTTTATTAATAATGGTCTTGTGAATATTACAATGTAGAGAGAGCCTTATTTATAGGGTTACAAATAATTGGAAAATGAAATAACGTAAAAGGAAAAATTACACAATCAATGACTAAGGTAAATAATCATACACTAAAAGAAAATATAATTCTAAATAATCTTTCTATCTTTAACAGTTTTCCAATCTTTGATGTGGTTATAGAACCCTAATTTTTAAAAGCAAAGTTATGAGTCATCAAGCTATTTAATCTACGAATTTGAATCTCCAAGTGACTAACTATATTTTAACGTGAATGTTAAAATTGGATGCGATTTTCACTTGAGTACAAATGGACAAGAAAATTTTCGAACAACTTAATCATCATCTTCAATTCAACAAAAAGTCATGTGTGATATTAATATTTATATTAATGATTTCGATTACATGCATCATAAATTTAAATAAGTTGACGACCAAAAATTTTGAGATCCATGATGACACTTAAAATGTATGAATTGCATTTCCAAGAAAAGAATTCTATAAGAAACTATGCATTTCTGTAACAAACTATGACAAGTTATAAAAACCCGAAGAATTAACATAGAAGCATGAAAGAACAGATCCTATTCTTCAACATATAATTTATTTCTTGATGAAAAATAGAGTCATAGAAATGAAAACTGAGGTGCTGTAGTGTATATAGCAGTGAGTGCATAATGCAATTTATATAGAGAAATTCTCCTAAAATTTTGTCAACTAATCAAACTGAAAGAACCAATGCGCTCCTAAACTTATTCAGCAAACAAAGACAAATAACAGACTCATAAATAAACTGAAATAAGTTACAAATAAAATAAAAATTGACTCAACAATTTCTAAATTAAAGTATAATATCTGTACTCCCTTTATCTCTACATATGAAACATGTTTATATAACTTTGTGTATGTTGGGCAGCACACACTTGACCTGATTATGCGTCGTCTATTGATGGTAATATTATAATATATTCAAACGGAGGCCCGATCAACGGTGGGGAGATTCTTTGATGCTTTCAAATTTGTACCTTTGTATTTTTTATTAAGGTAATTTTTAATTTGAATTCTCATTCAAGAAGATTTTCTTTCATGTACCTGTAATTTTCAATTTAGTTTCGCACATGAATCATGAATAATCCTTCAGTTTGTTAATTTATTGATTTTCTTCAGTGTTATGATGTATTTATGTAATGTAAACATATCTGTCACATGAAAAATATCTGGGAATAAATTTGTGTCATCCATGCGTGTGTTGGCGACTAATAAAGCCACGTGTTTATATTATATTGATTAATCCTTTGACATTGGTGGATTGTTCAGTACTTAACCATTTTCTAGGCTACTTGTTTGGAAAATTGTGGAATAAGTGTTTTGACAGCAAAAAGAATAAGCTGGTTTTTATCTTGGCCTGTGTATCAGTGTATAAAAAACCCATAATTTGAATTTTCACTTTTTTTTTCTCTTGATAACTTATTATTTTGACGATTATGTTTACTGATTTCCAGAATTAAAGAAAAAGATTAGTGTCAGCACTTTAATGGGTTCATCCGTAGCTTGTGCTTTTGCAGTTGCTCAAACACTCTTCGCAGATCGTCTAGATGGTCTTCTTTCTTTTGACTTTCGACAGCCAAGTTGTCAACGTAGCACTCAACTATTGAATGTTGTATGTCCTGAATTATCTTCATCATTGCCCTTTGATAAGAAAAAGATTAGTGTCAGGTTTTTACCATTCGTAATTCTTGTAGGATCGAAATTCAACCATTTTTTCTTAAATCAGTCGGAGTCCAATGAGAACATGCTAAAGGGCAACCATAATAAAATTGATTCTTGTAAAAGCTAGAGGTCTCTTTCTCTCTTGATCTTGTCCGAAAATTCTTTAGTTTGAAATCTTGAATTTTTGATGCATAAAATCAGCAATTGTTTTCATATTAATTAGATATTGTTGGGATATGTTGCTTTGGTTATTAGATAGTCTAATATAAAATTTGTGCAATTACAAAGTAATAAAACGTGTAATTGCTGTATTAAGTCTCTTTTCTCTTCTTTTAAATTCTATTTAATAGGTAAATGTTTTTCTTTATGTTTATTATACGTTTTTTTAACTATGAAGCGTTTTATGTTAGGCAGCTGTACCTATTGTACGTTACGTGGAGTGATGTTGTGCTTCCAAGAACAGTGCATGCTCAGTTCTATATAAATGTTGCTTCCTGTTGCTGAAACTTGTGTCTTATTCTTTTTTCTGAGTAACAAGGTTCTATGAAAACTCAGATTTTACACCTGTGATATATGTTTCTTCTATTTCTTCAAGAATAGCTCTCGAATAGCAGTGCCTACTGTATCGACTTGACCTTTCATAAGTGGAGACACAATAAAGCGTCCATTATAAAAACGTTTACCGCCTTCTCTTGATTCAACACACTTCCACTGCCATCATTTCCTGTGGGTCCTTCTTCCCCTAATTCTTTTCATTCTACCAACGAATTATCTAGACGAATTTGTAAATCTAGATTGGCTAATTGTTCTCGGATAGCACTTTCACCAGTAGAGATTTCTTGATTGTGAAATTTGTTGAAGCCTTGGATAGTTAAAAAACAGCTGGACGATGTATTTCCAGGATTGAATTTCGTAGTCGAATAATACATCTTTGATCTTGAGTTCTTATAGCCATTGCGAGCCAACTAAATTTGGATCTTGGATTTGATCCAAGGCAAGGGTAGGGTCTTGTAGTTCGGCTAATTGCTTTTTGGGTCAACGATCTGGATTGCATTCTGTCATTAGCAATTAGTTAAAAAGGGAAGTTTGAGGTAAGACATAATTATTTTGCATTGAGCAAATGGCAATCTTTAGTTGTTTTTGGCAAATATACAACCTATCTGGCAATATTTTAAAAAAAGCAAATTACTTGCTCATCAATTAACTCATTGAAGGCTCTGGATCGCGTTTGCTGCTTATTCATTAAAGCATTTAAATATTTGAAAATGGTTCTTCTTTATCTAGTAAAATGGCTTCTGGATTCAGAATTCATCTTCAAAAAACTACTTTCAAGAAGTAGAATAAAAACGCATTCTCAAGTAGGTTTTAAGCATTACATATTGTGTATGTTTCGTAGTATTGTTTAGAATCCTACCTTACAGAAATTTACACGTTGATAGGTGCTATTACCTTGTTATGGAGTACGATAAACATAATCATTTGGCGAGAGAATCCTCTGAAGTACTTCCATCGCCGATTAAAGTTATTACCGCACAAGAAGTGCCTGGTTTTGATGCTGTTAAACAGCATGATGATGTAAATGATCGATTCAAATCAAATGGCCTTCATCTTTCCAATTCCTCAATCACGGTAATTTATTAGTTCTCTTCCATTTGTGAATAGTACTCTGTGAATTATTCAGATTTGAAATGCTGTGTCACGGTCTAAATACTCTGATAACCACCAAGTAGTGGTATAATAATTTTTGAATAATCATTTCAGGGAACTGAAACAGTTGGAGTAGAAGGGCAAAATGATCTTTCTAAATCTCAGAAGATGCATTTTGTAGCCATTAGCATGCCATCGTCTCCTGTTGGAGTTCATTTACATAACACAAAGAAGGGCCTCGTCGGATATAGCAATGAAGCAATTTTTGACAATGACATAATGGGATTTGCAGTTACATCCAAAAACAGACAGACCACTTTCTATTCTCTGCCAATTTTGAAATGTCATGTGCTTTATGAGGCCATTGCTAGTGGAAAATCTCCCTATGATCCGGACCTTCCACCAAGATTTCCTAGGGTTGATGTGATTGAGGATAAAAGATTTGACTCTTTCAAGACGTGGTCTGGGAAACTTGAGGGGCAAATATTAAATTTGTGTGAAAATCATAGGGAAACTGAGCAAGAACTTGAGACTCATGAACCTGCAGAAGTTGAAATTTTACCTGCAGACCGATACTTTGATGCGTTGGAGGGACTGGAACTGGATACCTTAAAGGTACATGTTTTTTCCTTAATGAAGTAAATACATTTCTTTTAGTTATTTTCTTCTCTTTGTCTAATCAAAGACTCCTGTAACAGGCTTCTGAAGAAGTACTTCTTCCAGAAGATAAGAAATGGCCATTCCTTCTACGCTTCCCTATCTCTTCCTTTGGTATCTGTCTTGGCGTTAGCAGTCATGCCATAATGTGGAAAGCCCTGGCTACTTCTGCTTCTACGGGGTTCCTCCGGGTAAACCTGGACATAAATCTGGTCCTGTGGTTCATATCTGTCTCTCTCATGGCAGTTGTCTCTTTCATTTACTGTCTGAAAGTGATATTTTACTTTGAGGCAGTTCGTCGTGAGTACTACCATCCAATACGTGTTAACTTCTTCTTTGCTCCGTGGATCACTCTTCTATTCTTGGCTCTTGGAGTTCCACCATCAATTTCCCAAAATCTGCACGAGTCTCTTTGGTACATTCTAATGACCCCCATCTTTTGCCTCGAGCTTAAGATCTATGGACAGTGGATGTCGGGAGGACAACAGAGGCTTTCTATGGTGGCCAACCCCTCAAATCATCTGTCAATTATCGGGAACTTTCTGGGTGCATTGCTTGGTGCATCCATGGGGCTAAAAGAAGGACCTATCTTTTTCTTTGCTGTTGGATTGGCTCATTATTTAGTCTTATTCGTAACTCTCTACCAAAGACTTCCAACAACTAAGACACTCCCAAAGGAACTCCACCCGGTTTTCTTTCTATTTGTTGCTGCACCTAGTATTGCATCTATGGCATGGGGGAGAATTCAAGGGTCCTTCGACTCTGGAGCACGGATTGCTTACTTCATTGCTTTGTTCCTTTATTTCTCTCTGGTTAGTCTCACTAAACCTCAACCATTAGCATCTTAAGCACATATCTCAATGCCTTCTGCTTTATAATGCAAGCAACTTGCTTTCAATCATATCTAACAAAACATTTAGGATCAATCCATATCTAGTAATATGTCATTTTATCTAACAATGCATGTCATCGATCTGATCACAAACACGAGGTGTGAAGTGCGCTTAATTCTGGTCCCAATATTTGTTAAGGATTAAGCCCTAATCCCAACCGACGAGAGCAATAATTAACGATAAGCAATCACAGATTGAGCATCACGATTGCACATTTTCACTTTAAGGATGAAGAAGATACAAGTTTCATTACACCTTTCTACCATACAAAAGTGACATCCTGATAAATCCGTCATAAAATGTAACATATGATTAGGCTCCACACAGTTCGACATTAAAGAGAATCATGTTGCTCCACTGGATTTAGATAGCTAAGTAATTTTCATTTTCTTTTGCTCTTTTCAGGCCGTCCGTGTGAATTTCTTCCGAGGCTTCAGGTATATTACAGCTTCACTTTAATAGCCTCATTTTAAACTACCTATCAATTCTATTTTAGTCAAATTTGGAGTTTGCTCGATCATTTACAGGTTCTCACTGGCATGGTGGGCTTACACTTTCCCAATGACCGGAGCTGCCATAGCTACAATCAGATACTCGACTGTGGTCACAAATGTGGTAACCAAAAGTTTAACCATCGTCCTCTGTACTGTTGCTACACTCGCAGTTGCATCATTACTAGTAACAACTATTATTCATGCCTTTGTATTGGGATATCTATTTCCAAACGACATATCCATTGCCATTAGTGAGACAAGACCTAAGCCAACATGGAAATGGAATCAGAGAACAAATGGCAGCAAAGCTAATAAAGAGTCCTCAAATTTTTGAATTCAGATGGCAAAGGTATCGAGTCTTCTTCTATTTTCAAAGATGTAGAGAACAATCAATCTCACAAGATTCTAAATATGTTAATTCTTCCTGTAGACTTTTGTCACTCGGTCAAGTGAGGGAGTCTAGATTTCCGAGGTATCCAATGAACTTGTTGTACATGTGTTAAAATATCAAGCCCGACTGAAGATGAATAATCAGCAACAGCTAAGACTAGCTAATGGGAATCTGGATCAGCAAGAAGAAAGTTATTTGGAAGATACAAACGTAAATGATGATAGATGATAGAAGAATTCTGCAATTGGAGCAAATAGGATCATTTTTTGTTAGAATGTTTATAGTTACGTGATATTTTTAATAGACAATTAGTTTTGTTTTCTATAGCTAGTGGCATAGATTTCTNGGGTCCTTCGACTCTGGAGCACGGATTGCTTACTTCATTGCTTTGTTCCTTTATTTCTCTCTGGTTAGTCTCACTAAACCTCATCCATTAGCATCTTAAGCACATATCTCAATGCCTTCTGCTTTATAATGCAAGCAACTTGCTTTCAATCATATCTAACAAAACATTCAGGATCAATCCATATCTAGTAATATGTCATTTTATCTAACAATGCATGTCATCGATCTGATAACAAACACGAGGTGTGAAGTGCGCTTAATTCTGGTCCCAATATTTGTTAAGGATTAAGCCCTAATCCCAACCGACGAGAGCAATAATTAACGATAAGCAATCACAGATTGAGCATCAAGGTTGCACATTTTCACTTTAAGGATGAAGAAGACACAAGTTTCATTACACCTTTCTACCATACAAAAGTGACATCCTGATAAATCCTTTATAAAATGGAACATATGATTAGGCTCCACACAGTTCGACATTAAAGAGAATCATGTTGCTCCACTGGATTTAGATAGCTAAGTAATTTTCATTTTCTTTTGCTCTTTTCAGGCTGTCCGTGTGAATTTCTTCCGAGGCTTCAGGTATATTACAGCTTCACTTTAATAGCCTCATTTTAAACTACCTATCAATTCTATTTTAGTCAAATTTGGAGTTTGCTCGATCATTTACAGGTTCTCACTGGCATGGTGGGCTTACACTTTCCCAATGACCGGAGCTGCCATAGCTACAATCAGATACTCGACTGTGGTCACAAATGTGGTAACCAAAAGTTTAACCATCGTCCTCTGTACTGTTGCTACACTCGCAGTTGCATCATTACTAGTAACAACTATTATTCATGCCTTTGTATTGGGAGATCTATTTCCAAACGACATATCCATTGCCATTAGTGAGACAAGACCTAAGCCAACATGGAAATGGAATCAGAGAACAAATGGCAGCCCAGCTAATAAAGAGTCCTCAAATTTTTGAATTCAGATGGCAAAGGTATCGAGTCTTCTTCTATTTTCAAAGATGTAGAGAACAATCAATCTCACAAGATTCTAAATATGTTAATTCTTCCTGTAGACTTTTGTCACTCGGTCAAGTGAGGGAGTCTAGATTTCCGAGGTATCCAATGAACTTGTTGTACATGTGTTAAAATATCAAGCCCGACTGAAGATGAATAATCAGCAACAACTAAGACTAGCTAATGGGAATCTGGATCAGCAAGAAGAAAGTTATTTGGAAGATACAAACGTAAATGATGATAGATGATAGAAGAATTCTGCAATTGGAGCAAATAGGATCTTTTTTTGTTAGAATGTTTATAGTTACGTGATATTTTTAATAGACAATTAGTTTTGTTTTCTATAGCTAGTGGCATAGATTTCTCTCCTTCTAGATCCTTCTCTCTGATTGTGCATATATATCTGCATGGAGCTGCACAAATAATGTAACAGATTTTAGTGGAATCATTTTTTCATCAATTCCTTGTGTTTTAGTTTATTGTTTTTTGTTTCAATTCTTACATGGTATCAGAGCCTTTCCTATAGTTGATTGTTATAGCACTACGGTAGACTCAACAAATTCAAATTCAAATTCAAACACAACCAAAATGCCAACATAAATCCAACACCAAGCTTCCATCCTAATGACCCCTGCCATCCTTATTACATTGGCGGGAATGATAGTTTAGGAGCAATATTTGTGACTCATGTCCTTGACAATACCAACTACCATGCTTGGGCAAGATCTATAAAGAGAGCCCTCCGAATCAAGAACAAACTAAGCTTCATTGATGGAAGCCTATCTGAAGTAGCAGATCCCAACAGCTCCTTGATGGAACACTGGCTTCAATGTAATGATGTAGTGATTAATTGGTTACAAAACACGATGTCCTTTGATGTCAAGTCCTGCACAATGTATGCTGACACGGCTTGAGAATTTTGTCTGGGCCTAGAACATCAACTAGCACAACGAAATGCTCCATGGGATTATAAGGCAAAACAAGCCATTGTCACCTTCTCAAATACAAGAGTATCCCTGATGAATTAATGAACTATGAATCAATTCCAAACTGTACATGTAGAGGATTGAAATGGGATTGAACGACTCATACAAAGCACTCAAGGCTCAAATTCTGTTACTTGAGCCTTTTCCTACTCTATAATACAACAAGAAGAAAAGAGGAGAGAAATTTCAACAGATCTCTTTATACCTGATTCAATGGCACTAGCAACCAGAGAGACTTTCAGTGATCTAGTGAAGCAGAAATGAACAACACAAAGGAAATACATTTTTATTTTCTGCAAGGTACCTGGACATTTACGTGAAAGGTGTTTTAAGGCTAATCCCAACAAACCAATTAGTAGCCATTGCCATATGCCAGTACACTCTGTGGACAAATGTTTCAAAATCCATGGATATCCCCCTGGACATAAATTACATAGAAAGGAAAGCTCCTCATCACACCTGGTATCGTTACAGGGAATGCTGGCAGTAGCAATCAGGCAACATTCGTGGAAAAGCAGCATGTACAACTTCTAACTCCACTCAAGTCACAAAATATTCAATACCTTACTTCATCAACTCCCGGAGACACACAGGTCCCAACACTCTCTGGTATCTCCCCTTAACTATGTGCCTATGGCAACAAATCTAAAAAAAGTTCAAATACACCATGGATAATGGACACAAAAGCAACAGATCATAAGATTTGCTCCACTTTCTTCTTCAGCTCCATTTAAGCTGAAGTGTCTTATTCAATCTCTCTTCCAAATGGTGATCTGGTTAATGTCACACACAGGGGCTGTTCAAATCACAGAGAACCTGGTTTTGCACAATATGCTTTGTGTTCCATCCTTCACATTTAACCTGATATCTGCTAGAAAGTTAACACAAACATATAAATGTTGTCTTATATTCTTTCTTGAAAATTGTTTTGTGCACAACCTTTTGACTTGGAAAACGACTGGAATGGGTGAAGTGAGGCAAGGTTTATCCCACTTGATGTAATGTCAAATCTCTTCTTTAGCCTTAAAAAAAACACTCTCCTTTATTTCAAATAAAACCTCTATGTTAGCTACAACCTCTAGCAGGATTGAGAGCTTTGATCTCTAGCACTATAGGCTAGGACATCCATCTTATTCTAGACTAGACTTGATAAGTGATGATTATGTTCCTAGATCTGCCAATGAACCTTGCTCCATATGTCCTATGGCTATAATGCATAAACTACCATTTTCTGTCAGTTGTCACAAGTCCAAAAATAGTTTTGATCTCATGCATTGTGATAGTTGAGGTCCTTATAGTGAGACTAGCTACGATGGATCCAGATATTTTCCGTCCATAGTCAATGATTTTAGTAGTTGCACATGGGTCTATATGTTGAAAAATAAATCAGATGCTCCTGCTGATTTGCAAGGTTTTTGTGCTTTATAAACACTTAATTTCAATCACAAATAAAAATCATTAGAATCGACAACGGAGGAGAGTTTGAAATGAAAGATTATTACCAAAAAAAGGGAATCATACACCAGAAAACTTGTATTAAAACATAACAACAAAATGCCACAGTTGAAAGAAAACACCAGCACATCTACAAGAGCCTTAAAGTTTCAAGGTGCCATTCCAATGCGATGCTGGGATGATTGCATTCTTATAGTAGTGTATCTTATAAATAGGATACCTTCACCCCTATTAAACAACAAAGCCACTTTTGAAATCCTTTTCAAACATAAACTAAACCATGCAAATCTTAAAGTTTTTGGATGCCTTGCTTTTGCCTTAACATTAGCTAATCACAGGAGCAAGTTTGAACCAAGAGCCAAAAAATACATATTTCTGGGTTACCCTTTTGGAATAAAAAGATACAAACTTCTTGATCTTGAAACAAGAAGAGTATTCATCTCAAGAAATGTGATGTCTTATGAAGACAACTTTCCTTACAAAAGCAGCAATATATCTGAGAACAGTAATACAACAAAGCCATTACAACCTGATCCTATCAGCACAGATTTTCATACTCACATTCCTCCTACAACTACTTTTAATGAAATGGAGGCAACAAAACTGGAAACCAACCATATAAACTCCCATTCACTTCATGAGCGGGACTGCTATCCTACAAGATCATCTTTCTTAGATTCTCAAGAACAAGAACCAGAACCATCTAATAGTACCATAAATAGTCATCACTTACCCCAAAGGTCTTCAATAACCAAGAAAACCCCAGCTTGCCTGGAGGACTACATTTGCCAGCAAGCCTCATTTCCTCCATCACAGAAGTTGAATGAGCAGAAAGGCCTTACTGTTTTAGGTAGTGCTTTTCCTCTTAATGCCACCTTATCGTATCATAGACTCTCTAATAAACATAAAGCTTTTGTTACATCCATATCCTCACACACTGAACCTAACATATACCAATAAGCCCTCACTTCACCTGACTGGCTAAAGCCATGAACTTTGAAATTGATACTCTTGAGATGAATGATACTTGAACCATAATAGATCTTCTACTAGTAAAAAGCCTAATGGATGCAAGTGGGTATATAAATTAAAGTATAATGTTAATGGAAGCGTGGAAATGTGCAAATCCAAAATTGTGGCAAAGGGGTATACACAGCAAGAGCGCCTAGATTACCATGAAACATTTTCACCTGTAGCTAAAATGATATTTGTTAGAAACCTTGCTTGCAGTAGCAGCCGTGAAGGGATGGCATTTGCATCCATTCAATGTAAACAATGTATTCCTACATGGAGACTTAAATGAAGAAGTATATATAGAAGTGCCAATTGGTTATCCTAATGTTGGTCACTCAAAAGTGTGCAAGCTACTCAAAAGTTTGTATGGGCTTAAACAAGCATCACAGCAATGGTACTCCAAACTCTTAACCTTTATCATTAGGCATGTATTCACTCAGTCAAAGGCTAACTACAGCCCATTTACAAAGTTTACCTAGAATTCTTTCATTGGTGTTCTTGTTTACGTGGATGACAATATTGTGGCTAGCAATAGTATGGACAACATCAATTCTCTCAAGAGCTTACTTGATAAGAAATTTAAAATCAAGGACTTAGGAGCACTAAAATACTTCTTGGGAATAGAAGTAGCAAGGTCTGATATAGTTATCTATATTTGTCAATAGAAGTATGCTTTAGAAATACTATTTGATTCAGGAACAATAAGGTGCACACCAGCTAGAATACCTTTGGATCAGAATGTCAAGATTTCTAAGACTGATAGATAGATTCTTCCTGATCTTACAATCTATAGAAGGCTTGTTGGTAGATTGCTATACCTAACCATCACCAAGCCTGATCTCTCATATTTGGTTCAAGTATTGAGTCAATTTATAAGCACTCCTCGCATTTCCCACTTGAATGTATCTCACAAGGTGTTAAGGTATATAAAGAGAGCTCCAAGACAAGGGTTGTTTCTTGTTAATTCAAAATGACAACTCAATGCCTATAGTGATTCGGATTGGGGAGCATGTCCAGATACACGAAGAAGTATAACAGGATATTGTGCTCTTATTGGATCCTCTTTGATATCTTGGAAATCTAAAAAACAGGATACAATATCCAAGTCTTTAGCAGAGGCAGAATACAAGGCCATGGCAAATGTGTTGTGAATTAACTTAGCTCAGGTATCTCTTTCAAAACTTGAGAATTGATCGTCCACGGGCTGCTAATTTGTTTTGTGACAACAAATCAGCTTTGTACATAGCAGCAAACCTAGTTTTCCAAGAGAGAACAAAGCACATAGAGCTTGATTGTCACATAATATATGACAAGATTCAGGAAGGAAAGTGTGATTACTAAGCATCTTATTAGTGACTCTCATACTGCTGATATCCTAACCAAAACCTTAAGTTTGTTTCAATTTTATCAACATATGAACAAGATGGGAGTTGTTGACATTTATCTCCATCTTGCAGGGGGTGTATCAAGCCCAACTGATGATGAAATAATAGCAGCGACCAAGACTAGCTAATGGGAATCCGATCTGCATGAGAACGTCATTTGGAAGATACAAACGTGAATGAGGACAGAGGATAGAAGAATTCTGCAAGTCGACCAAATATGATCATCTTTAGTTTGAATATTTATAGTTATGTGATTCTTTTAATAGTACTAGTGAGTGAATGTGCGTTCCATGTTAATTGGTTAATGTTTAAAATAAGTGTATGTAAATTTTAGAAAAATTCATTTATAAATTTTTAAATTGAAAATAGAAAATTTTGAAATATTTAACACAGGCACCATGCAGAATCCTAAATTATAGCTTAAAATGTTAAATGCAATTTCATGTATCAATTTTGTTATCATTGGAGCTTGATTGTAAAATTGCAAAAACGTAATTATAACATTAGAAAATAATGTAGACATAGGCATAACCATAAAGGGAGAAAATTTCTTCAAACTTTTCAAAGTTTA